ATGAGGAAATTTCGAGTGCTAGACGTAAAACCCCGGGATGAAAACTCATAGCAAAACCCGCACTGTTTTCGGAGCCAGCAGTTAAGAATAGTCAGAATCGAAAGAAGTACCCTCACATTTCCTCACTCCCTGGTGTGCATTCCAACAATCATTAAGGTGCCTAATAGCAGCACAGTTCTTTTATCAGTCAGTCATTTTGAAGTATCGAGTGCCAGACATAACATCTTCAGCAAATAAGTCACTCCGAACGACGACGAAGGCCGGAAATGTGCCGCAAACCCCTTTAGATGATAGCACTCAGAAACGCTTAGGGTGGTATTGGTAAATTTGGCGTGAAAGAGCAACTACTAAAAAACGAGTGTCGCTCGTTTTAGTCAAACGAAAAGTGTATTTGACATTTCAAAAATTCTAAAAAGCTCTACTTTAGATGCTCTTTTTTGAGAATCAAAGAATTATCAACGACATGCAAAGGTTCGCCAGTCTGATCACTTCTTGGGGAAAAATTTAGCTTTCTGTAGGGATGGGACGCAAAGGGGAATAAAAGTGGTAATGAAAAGAGAGCATTGAGAACGAACGTAGAGCCATTGTTTGAGGCTATTCGCAATGGCTCAGGCCCCTTTAAGGCGTGCATTCTTTTGACTGCCATGCTGGCTACAACAGCGTGTTTCGTGTTTCCTGGAAGGCAGAAGGTGTTGGGAGGTGCGAGGGAGTGGAGGATGACCGGAGGTGGGCTGCGAAGACTGCCCATTTCCAGTTGTTGCTGATGATGTAAGCATCTGCCCCAAAGGCAGCATCCAGATTCAGTAGGTCTGTGTATCTGTTGTCTGGCCTAGGCCGAATTCTAAGTTCTGCGCTTCTTCCCTCTTCTGCCAGTCAGACTCATACACCGGAGCAAGTTATCGGTGAGAAGCAGTAGCCTTAAAGAGTACACAGACACACGCATTGATTTTTGGTTGTGTCCAGAACATGTATGCGTTTGTGCAGAGAAGGGGAGGAGGAGGACAAACGATGAAATAAGTTCCTCAAATCTCATTATGCTTTATGAGGTGCTAATGTGAGTCTTAGTGCCCAAATTCCGCCATTCAGCACATCCCGCAACCATTCAGCACATCCCGCAGCATAAGTGCTACATATTTCAGCTGTAAGGGAAACAGTGCATCACAAAAGTGCCAAGTTTCGCATCCGCTTTTCACCGCGCTGGGCTACTACACAAAGATCTCACAAGCCAGGATTCTCGGTTTCACGATTCATTATGCCTCGATTTGTATGGTAGGCCTTGAAACTGATCCTGGGTTTTCTTTAGCTTAGGCTGACTTAACTGCAAGAATTAGCGTGGGATCTTCCGTGTTTGATGACTTCTTCCAACTAAAATTTGCTAGCTACTGTTCATCGGCATAGCTCGGTGCTGCTTTGAAACTGTGCCGAAGTAATGATTTGTCTCTCCTGTAAGCATGCTGTCATGAAGCAAACAATTTACTCTCTGGACTTTTCAGTCGCAAAATGAGCAATTTTGAATTTATTAACAGAGTACTGCATATACTGTAATGATGATAGTAATCGCTATCAACAAGTCAACACACTGGCAGGCATCAACCAAATCATTTATCATATTATGATTTTGCCGAAAAATTTATCATTCTCGGCGCAGCGCCCGTCCAAATGAGATCCGCCTGAGGAGGAAATTGTAACAGCCAGAGATAGATACTTGCAGAAATAGATCCATGTGCCCCTGAAAATAAAAGCAAGCACTTTTTGCACCAGAAATAAATTAAAAGAACACAGGAATAAAACAGAAAAATAAAAATAATTTTTAACTAGAAAATCACCTAGTTACTGGATTTCTTAGCCATTCTGCGGCGCTGTGGAATTTTTTGTAGATTTTCGAAACGAGGCAAAAATTCCGCTGCCACGGTGTTGCGAACGATGCCTGGGGCGAATTTTCGTTGGCGGCTGCTTAACGAATACCATACCGTTTGGCCGAGTTTCCGCGCTCTGGGCTCGCTCTGTAACATGACATCCTCATTTAACTGTATATAAAACGATTATATAATACATTTTTCTCGATGAACTGCTGAAACCTAAATTATTGCAGGAATTTGTTGGAATGAACCATTAATCTACACAGAGCCTGTAAAGCGCAAAATCCGTGACCTCGGGCTTACTCCGTTTTCAGAATTAGTTCGCCTCAGAGTTTACCCCGGCTTTTGTCCCGTAATCGTAGATTCAGGGGTGCGGATGGTGGGAAGGAGCGGGAGAGGGAGAGGGCGGGGGGAGGGAGACTGAGGTTCGGAAATTGATATTTAGTTGTCCATTTAGCCTTATACAGCAAGCTAAAATCCCAGATTTTCGCTTTTCAGCTTGTGTTGCTCTATCAGCAATTTGAGACTGAAGTAATACATCAAGAAGCAGTTGATTTCCAAGATTTATTATAGGTGTCTAAATTGCGTTACACATAATAGTGATTGCTTTATTTACTCATTAATCTGGGGATCTGTAAATTCAAGAGCTGGAAACTAGCTGTCTACACTGATACGTTTTCGGCACACATTCAGAACGGTTGTCCAGAAATTTCAAAACTGATGTTGGATACGAAAAAATTGAGAACAATCAAATAAATTTGATTTGTGATCAGAGATTCTCGGGAGATTCTCGGGTTCGTGCCTCATTTGTTTTAAAATCGTGGCAGTAAATCTTTCGTAGATGTGGACAATACGCCTATTCCAAAATGTTATGGTTTCCTAGGACCGAATTTTGGCTCCATTCCAGAGCACTAGTGCAATTCCATTTTTCTTGCAGAATACACACAAACTAACAGGAAAAATGTTTGCTTTCAAGATACTTTGTTGAATCTAAGCTGCATCTAAATCAAGTATCATGTGCAAAGCTCATGCTGATTTTATATTCCTAGAAGTTTTCTCATGTAAAATGTATTAGGAAGCGCGCACCAACTTACCTCTCGAGTATCTGTTCTCAACCGTTGTAATCGTGTCACTGCTTTTAGCTTTGTCGATCGAAACTGGCCGACACAGCGACCGAGCAGTATCGTAGTCCGTGTCGCTACACTCGGCTTGTGCGATCGGCGCTTTTGGCTCCATCGACTTTCTAGGTTTTATCAGTGCCTGCTCCTGCTGCTGTTGTGATTGCTGTTGTTGTTGCTGTTGTCGTTGCGGTTGCTGTTGTTTCGTTGCACGCAGTGTGCTGCTCGAGGAGGATGATCGCCTAATACCATGCGGTAAGCGGCCATTCCCTGGTGCTTGACCATTTGCCGGCATAGGTACTGTTGTACCAAACATTCTAAACAGTTTTGAAATCGTAGTAAGGTGTATTTTATCTCATCGTGCAAAAAATCAATCCCTCTACAATTCACAGATTTATTTCGATGGAAGATTGACACTGATGCAAATCAAGGATTCAGAATGATCATTCTAAGCAATGCTTGGTCGAGAGAACCATTGGCAATTTTCCTGGCAAGTAGTTGCTGTTGATAATTACTAACACCCAGGTATCTCTCATAGACGATTTTATATGAAATGGACTTTCACTTTTTATGCGTTTTTGCATAACATGCACAAACACATATTGTGACGACCGCGGTGTGTGTGTATGTGTGTGTGTGT